ACAACTTCTTGATACCAGTAGTCCCAAAAGAATCCCCAGCTTTGAGATTAAAGGACTGGGTCTCATGTTTGGGGTATGCAAGGATGTACAAATAGGGTGGACAGACACACACACACACACACACACACACACACACACACACACACACACCTTAAAAAAAGTGCCAAAGCTCCAGAGCCCTTCCCTCCCCAAGCTATGCCCTTGGGGTTGAGAATCCTGGTGGCTGCTGCCCACTGTTCATTCATTCATCCACCACTATTTGCTGAGCACTTCCCTTGGACCAGGCCCTGGGCTGGGGCTGGGACTGCACTGGTGACCAAGAGCAACACAATCCTTGCTTCCGTTTGTGACTTAGACAAAAACCAATAGTTAAAAAAATGGCCACCACTGTAGTGTGTGTACCAAGGTTGTTATGTCCTTTTCTAACACCACTTGTGACACCATGTATGTGGTTTTCCATACCCACAGCCAATTCTTCCACACCACCTGGGTTTCCAGCAATTCAATGAAATTCCAACACTAACTCTTAGAGTTAATGCACACACTATAGACTTCGGGCCCAGTCCCACAAGACCTCCCCTACTTCAGACACCATTGCAAATCCTGGGGGCCACCCATAGTTCTGACCTACCAGGTACAAATTCAGGGATTCCCACACCCCCTCCACAGGTTCAGTAGTTTGTGAGAATGACTCAGAGAACTCAGAAAAGCACTTTACTTAAGCTTATCCCTTTATTATAAAGGATACAACTCAGGAGCAGCCAACTGGAAGAGACGCACAGGGCAAGGTGTAGGGGTGGGGGGCAGCGTGGAGCTTCCGTGCCCTTTCTGAGGATACCACCCTCTCAGCACCTCCACATGTTCGCCAAACCAGAAGCTCCCACAAACCCTAGTGTTTAGGGGTTTTTATCAAGGTTTCATTATGTAGGCAGAATTGACTAAATCATTGACTGTTGAAATTAAACCAGCCCCTCTCCTCCTGGTGGAGGTTAGGTGTGGGGAAAGACTAAAAGTTCCAACCCCCTAATTAAGGCTTGGTCTTTCTAGCAACCAGCCCCCTTCCTGAAGCTATCTAAGAGCCCCCAGCAGTAGATACAAAAGGCAATCTTATCACTTAGGAGCTCTGTGCCAGGAACTGGAGTCAAAGACCAAAAGTATATTTTTTATTATACCACAAGGGGCAAAAGCTCAGCGCTAACAAAGCAGGCCCAAGAGCTTCTAATCCAGACTGGGATGACTTCCCGAGAGACTGTAACATTTGTAGTGAGATGAAGAAATGAAGAACTAGACAGGTAAAGCAGGAGGGGCCTGGGGACAGCAGGAGCAGGAAGAGAGGGCAAGAAGGTTTTAAGTTCAAAAAAGTGATAAATTCATTAGAAGTGATTGTGAGTAGCCCATCTAGGTCTCCCCGCTCATTCCTACTGAAATTATCTGTCTCCCCAGCAGCCCCCCAACCCCAGCCTGGAAGCTTCCCAAGGGAAGGGGACGCATTCAGTTTAGTTTAGTTCTGTTTCCTGCTGTATTTACTCCAGTGCTTAGATCATTGTGGGCACTCAGAAACATGGATGGATGAGTAAACAGATCGATGCATCCTGTACAACCTAAGGCCTCACACACCTGCCCAGAATCAGAAATTTCACCATCAAACATCACTCCTGGGAATTCAGAAATTCTCTCATGGGGAACCCAGAAAACAATAATAATCTCAAATTACAAATGCCTGAGGCTTCACAGTTTACCCAGAGCTTTCCTTCATACCCTGTGAGTGATAGACAAGGGAAGGGAAGCTTTGAGAGGTGAAGTAACTCAGACTCACACCTCCAGAATGTGAATCCAGGTCTCTGTGGGGTTTCTTTATGCAGAGTGCAAGTGTGTGCACTCCACCAGGAACAGGCTCTGGGAGGCAGAGCCAGACAAGCCGGGAAGAGGAAGAGAAAGACAGAGGAGGCTCAGTGGCTGGCACTCACTAAGCTGCCCAGCCAGCTTCATACGAAGCTGTCTACACTGCTTCATCTTCATAGCAGTCCTCCCGGGCAGCCCGGTGCTGGGCACAGCACCCTTGCACGCACCTGAGGAAGACGAGAGGGCGGGAGGGAACGTGCAGTGAACTCGCAAGAGAACTGAGAGCCAGCCAGGCGGGTGCCGCCTCTCTGGGGGAGGAGAAAGGGGCTGGGCCATGCACAAGCAGCCTAGGCCTACAGCTAGAGAGGCCAGGCCAGACCTACAGTGCAGACAAAAGACAGAGGTGAGTCAGGCAAGCCGGGCCGAGGGACAGGGGCGGGATTGGGAGACCCCTGAGGACTGGGCCACCGGAGTGATGACCTTCCCTGGCAGGCGCTCCCAGTGCCTCTGAGACTGCTTTCTTTCATGGGACACTTTTTAGACACTGCCTTCAGGCCAGGCCCTGGACTACATGTTAGAGCAGCAGCAATAATGTCACAAAGATCCCTCCCTTCTTGGAGTTTACCTTTCAGGAGGGGGAGACAGGAATAAACAAAAACGTAATAAATCAGTACATGATCTTGTATGTTACGACAAGTGAAAAGAGGAAAAGTAGAGCAGAGTGAGGGGGGTTGCCGGGGCAGGGGTCTTGGGATTTTAAAGAGGGTAGTCAAGTGGGCCTCACTAAGAAAGAGACTGATCAGAGGCTTGAAGGAGGTAATTTGGAAGCTGAGGACATCCGGGGAAAGAGTGTTCCCAGGAAAGTGTTCCAGGAAGAAGACAGTCCAGGCAGAAGCTGGGGGGTGAGGGGGTTAGGGGGTGAGAGCCAAGTGTTCAAGCACAGCAAGGAGGCAGCAGCAGTTGGAGCAGAGGGAGCAAGAGGCAGAGAGGAAGTGAGGCAGGAAGAGAAAAGACGGGCTAGGTGACCTTGCAGGGAATT